TGCAACAACATGGTTGAAACTCAAATTTTGCTGAGTGAAATAAGCCAGATTAAAAAAAGAGTATATCCTATGTGATGGTATTCCTATGAGGTTTAAGAACAGACAAAACTAATCTGTAATGAGGAAGAAAACAAATCAGAATAGCGGTTGCCTCTGCGGATGGGGATTGACTAGGAAGGGGTGTGAGGCAGTTTTCTGGGGGTGGTAGATGTTTGGATTAGAGAGCAGGGTATGCTTTTGTCAAAACCTATAGAATGGTACATTAAAATGTTCATTTCATTATGTAACTTTTACAAAAAATACGAAATTAGCTGTAGTTACTGACAGGCAAGCTGAAGAATTTAGGCATGAGGCAGATAGATAGATGGCTGGCTAAGTAAGTAAAAAAGCAAAGATAGCAAAGTGTTAATGATAGAATCTGGGTGATGGGTACATGGGTGCTTACTAAACAATTCTTCTAACTTTTCTGTGTGCTTTAAGTATTCTTAACACAATGCTGGGAGAAAATCCCTAGTTTAGGTTTTGCTAATTCACCTATCAAGAATCAGGAGGACTGGTAGGGAGAAACCCAACTGCGGGCAATGTGAGGCCACTGGAAACCTGCTAAATCTTCACTGTTGGCCCTTTGAAGGGAACTATGGCCAGGGCTGGAAAGAGGAACAGCCCTAACTCAGGATCCCTTTCCCAAATGCTTTTGGCTGATGGGTGCTGTAGAAAATTGTAATATTTATTATTTAGTAAACTTATCCTCCCTCTAGTTTTGGCTGATTTCCACCATCAGGTCTTCTTGCAGATTAGTGTTTCTCTTTTTCAGGTCTTCTGGCTTCAGGCAAAAGAGGTGGGGACCACCTAAGAGTTGCCTTTCAGTAATTAAATTTCCCATTTGATTACTGACTGCAGGTTATTTAAAATACCACACACCAATGTGTTTTATTCTTCTTTGCTGTTCCAAGAAGTTGTTTAACAGAAATGTCAATGTATTGATGGAGAGACTTCCTGGTACACGTGAGGTCTCCCAGGAAACGGAAAGGGCAGGAGCCCACCATTAGAAGTGGTTACTAATGTCACTTCCCCTTAGTCCCAGGATCGGCACAACTTCACTAGTTTGGTGTATAGGCCTTCTTTCCTGTTTGGCCAGAGGCTCCATCCTCTTGGTGAGTAGTATCATCTTTTCATTATAGAGTCTCTAATTCTATTCCCAGTACTCATTTAATTATGTATTTCTCTTCCTCACAGCTGGAACATCCTTAATCATAGAGTTCAATCTTTGAAAGATAATTATTTTTCTGGATCTTTTTAGCAGTTGGCTGTCATGCTGATTAATTAGGTCATTTGCTTTACAGTGGTTTTTTTTTTTTTTTTTCTTAAGAGACAATCTTACTTTATTGCCCTCAGTAGAGTGCCGTGGTGTCACACAGCTCACAGCAACCTTCAACTCCTGGGCTCAGGTCTCCCGAGTAGCTGGGACTATAGGCACCTGCCACAATGCCTGGCTATTTTTGTTGTTGTTGCAGTTTGGCTGGGGCTGAGTTCAAACCCACCACTCTTGGTATATGGCACCGGCGCCCTACCCACTGAGCCACAGGTGCCACCCTGCTTTACAGTTTTTATTAACTGCCTGTATAAGTAAAACGTCTTAGGCCAAGCACAGTGGCTCACATCTGTAATTCCAACACGTTGGGAGGCTGAGATGGGAGGACCGTTTGAGGCCAGTAGTTCCATACCAGCCTGGGCAACATCCCAGCTCTATAAAAAATAAAAAAAATTAGCCAGGCATGGTGGCATGTGCTTGTAGACCCAGCTACTTGGCAGCCTGAGGCAGGAGGATCTTTGAACCCAGGAGTTCAAGGTTGCAATGAACTATGATTGCACTACTCTGTGCTGGCCTGGGTAATATAGTGAGGTCTGTCTTAAAAACACCATCTTGTTAGGATGCTGGATAACAATCTTTTGTTTGGCATCAACTTTATAGTACTTCAAAATAGGTATTTAAGATTAAAAAATAAAACACTCTTTGGCTGTATGTAGTGCCTAAAGCCTGTAACCCTAGTACTCTGGGAGGCTAAGCTGGGTGTATTGCCTGAGCTTAGGAGTTGAGACCAGCCTGAGCAAAAGCGAGACCCCATCTCTACTAACAAAACAAAACAAAAACAAAAAGAACACTAGCCAGGTGTAGTGGCAAACACCTGCAGTCCCAGCTGAGGCTGAGGTAAAAGGATTGCTCAAGCCAAAGAGTTTGAGGTTGCTGTGAGCTATGACAACAGAGCACTCTACCCAGGGCAACAGGGTGAGACCCTGTTTCAAACAAAACAAAAAAAAAATAAAACACCCTTGCAAGAACAGTTTTTGTTAGGGGGAAAAAAACACCTCGTTATGGGACACCTATTATTGAATTTGCTTATTGTTATCTGAGTTACTGATACTAAATTTAGTGGCTCGGCGCCTGTGGCTCAAGTGGCTGAGGTGCCAGCCACATACACCTAAGGCAGCAGGTTCGAATCCAGCCTGGGCCCACCAAATAACAATGACGGCTGCAACCAAAAAATAGCCAGTCATTTTTTTTTTTTTTTTTTTTTTTGAGACAGAGCCTCAAGCTGTCCCCCTGGGTAGAGTGCTATGGCATTACAGCTCACAGCAACCTCCAACTCCTGGGCTCAAGCGAGTCTCCTGCCTCTGCCTCCCAAGTAGCTGGGACCACAGGCGCCCGCCACAACGCCCAGCTATTTTTTGGTTGCAGCCGTCATTGTTGTTTGGCAGGTCCGGGCTGGGGATTCGAACCTGCCACCTTAGGTGTACGTGGCTGGCGCCTTAGCCGGTTGAGCTATAGGCGTCGAGCCTGGATGTTTATTTTAAATGCAGATTCTAGGACCCATTCCTGATACATGTGCAGTGGGACATTTTGAGAAACACTGCCTGTAAGGGAGTATGTTACATCATTTTCATCTCACAGAAACGTAAAACGTGCCTTGTTATTTACATTTTTTCTTTAAATTATCACTTTACAGTGCCATTCTGTAAATCAATCTGAGAAAGGTGAGATTTGATTCCTCATGAATGATGACCAGGTCAGACACCATGAAAGGAAGCCGGGTGTACCTGCGTAACACATGGCCTTTCTGCTTTCATGTGACCCTTGGCTAATTCTGTTTTCCTTTCTGTTTTTAAGCCGACTATGGGCAGCTTTTTTGACATTGCCATCAAACAATTTCTTTGAAATTTGAAGGAAGACACAAGAATAACATGAGGTCAGCACTTAGGAATTAATGTAATTTTTTACTAAGATAGGATTTTTTAGTTAAATATGTGAGAATGGTTAAGTGAAATCAAATGGTTCTAAAAGTCTTAGAATGAAAATAGTCCCAAGAGTTTCTTTCCAGAGCAAGTGCTTTACACCAGTGCTATTGTCACTTTCCCTCCTTTATTGTCCCCCAAATCATCTGATTTAGGGGTTACTTATTGTTGAGAAAAACAGCATATTATACTTTTACTATCTTGTTTTTTCCCTTTTAATTGGAATTTGTGATTGCCCAATTACCCTTACCCTGTTTTTTCACATTTACTTTATCTTCAATCAGCTTATGTACTTCTTCTTAAATACCCCAAATCTATCAATAACTTGTATTTTATTTATTTATTTATTTATTGAATGGTAACTATGTACATTAATGCACTTCTGGGGTACCGTGTGGGGTTTTCGGAGTTGTATTTTATTTTTAAAAGAAGAGGTCTCAAGTTGGCCTGGAATCTCCTGCCCTCAAGCAATTCTCCCACTTAGCCTCCTGCGTAGCTGGGACCACAGGTGTGAGCCACTGTGCCCAGCTAACCTAATGTTTGTATTTACATTTGTTGTCTAAGTCAGCTACATAGTGGGATTATCACCCATGTTGGATCCTATGTCATCCTTTTCTTGATTTATGTATTCCTTATTTTTGCTGAAAAGTCTCCTCCCGTAGCTTTCCAAGAAAGGGTATGTGGAAGTACCTGTGCGTCTTTGCTTGTCCAAAAATTCCTTTATTTTATCTTCACCCTTGAATGTTTGGCTGAATATAAATTGATCAGTTAAAAATATCCTTTTTTGTAGACTTGTGAAGCATAGTTGCATTGTTTTCAGGTTTTGTTTTTCTCTTTTTTGAGACAGGATCTTGCTATTGCCTGGAATAGAGGGCAGTGGTGGTGTGATCACAGCTCACTGCAACTTCACGCTCCAGACCTCAAGCAATCCTCTTGCTTCAGCCCCAAAAGTAGGTGGGACTAGAGGCACACGCCACCGCGCCTGGCTAATTTTTCTACTTTTATAGGGTTATGGGGGGTTTACATGTGTAATATAAATATATATATATAAATTTATATAATTTTAAAAAATACAGAAACAGGATGACTAATTAGAAGCTCAGGTGAGGGATGATGTAGTTTGGACCAGAGAGTTGGAAATAGTGAGAAATTATGATTTAGGATATATTTTAAAGTTGGAGTTCAAGACCAGCCTGACCAAGAAGCGAGGCCCCATCTCCACTAAAAGTAGAAAAACTAGGTGTGGTGGTCATGGTGGCACACTCCTGTAGTCCCAGCTACTTGGGAGGCTGAGACAAGAGGATCACTTGAGCCCAAGAGTGTGATGCTGCTGTGAGCTACAATGCCACAGCACACTACCCAGGGTGACAGAGTGAGATTCTGTCTAGGAAAAAAAAAAAATTAAATTCATTTTCTTGTCACTGGACTTCCAAGCTGTCCTCAGTTTTTTAGTATGACAAACAAGACCACAACATTTGAAACCTCTGGATATACACACAGGAGGTTTTTACTCCGCATTTCCCCAATGGAAGAGTTGCTGAGTTGAAGGATATGTGTGTCGTCATCTTGAATAAATACTGCCAACATTTTACCAGTCTGATAATGTCAAGGACTGGCGGGAGTGCCACATGTGATGATGTGGAATGGCACCTCACTGTGGCAGGTAGGGGGACTCAGTCCTGGCTGTGGGAGACAGGTAGTGAGAAAGTTTCAGGGAGAAAAGAAATTGTCCACGAACTTTATTTGATATTGTCTAATTAAGATCAACAGGGAATAAAAACATGGTTAGAAATATCTATAGATCTAAGGTTAACACAGCTTTTTTTCCTAATGTAAAACTGTGTAATTTTTTTGGAGGGAAGAGGAATGACTTGAAATTAATCATTCTTTTCATACACTTCAAATTTGTACTTAATGCCTTTCTCTTCTTGGACATCAGAAAGAACTCCTGGGTATCTGTAAAAGAAAAACAGGTATAATTATATATCCATTAAAAACATAGCTTCCCTGCTTCTCAGCCAAAAAGCATCAATAGTACATAAAGAAAATAAAACGTTTTCCTCCCTTTTTTCTTCACAATGGCAAGCTACTGTTAAGCTGGCTGAATGTTGTGTACATGCGCTACATATGCAAATGGTAAGAAAAAATCGCAAACTACCTAGAAAGTTAGAAAGTGAAAAGTAAATTCTCTTCCTTTTCTTCTGATTCCTAAGTCTCTCAAAAAACACTCTCAGCAGCTTCTCTTGTATATTCCCACTCCATCACCTAGTTAATATAAAGTTTGTTTTTAATTTTTTTTTTTTTTTTGAGACAGAGCCTCAAGCTGTCCCCCTGGGTAGAGTGTCATGGCATCACAGCTCACAGCAACCTCCAACTCCTGGGCTCAAGCGAGTCTCCTGCCTCAGCCTCCCAAGTAGCTGGGACTACAGGCGCCCACCACAACGCCCGGCTATTTTTTGGTTGCAGCTGTCATTGTTGTTTGGCGGGCCCGGGCTGGGGAGTCAAACCCGCCACCTTAGGTGTATGTGGCTGGCGCCTTAGCCAGTTGAGCCACAGGCGCCGAGCCTGTTCTTAATTTTTGGAGAGATGGGCGTCTCACTCTGTTGCCCAGGCTGATCTTGAACTCTTTGCCTTAGGTGATCCTCCCCATCTCAGCTTCCCAAGGTGCATGAGCTACTGTGTCCAGCTGAAGTTTCTTAAGAACTTGTTGCAAATCTTACAATTGGTATTACACTTCTTGTGGAAGCCAAAAAATATAAAATCCTTAGCTGTTTAGAGCATAACTGAAATTATGTGCCCAGCACACTGACAGATTCTGTTTCTGTTTGATGGATAGACACCACAATTCTCTACTTTTCCTGAGGTGCAGCAGATTGCAATTCCTTTACTAGGACCTCTGTGTATTTGATCTTTCCTGACCCCTCACTATCACTTAGGTCTGTGCTCTCTCCAGAGAACTGCTCTGACCACTTCAGTTTCCAAGGAGTATTTCCATGTGGCTTCAAATCTTTGGGGTACTTCCTCAGTACTGTGTAGGCTGCACTGGGTTCCCTCATAGTGGTGGTCAGGAACACCCGCTTTAAACAGACCATGCTTGACTCTGGTTCTGCTGTGTGACATGTCTCTGAGCCTGGCAGTCAAGAAAGTCTTCAAATTTGTACCCCCCCAAAAAATCATATGCTGCCTAACAAGGTAAGTACTCTGCAAATGTTTGTTTGGTTGGCCTATTTTCTAAATTCATTGTAGGCAGTGATAATATAGGAAAAGTTTTTAATTTCTCATGATACCCAATACATTGCTAATTAACAGGTATTAACCTGTTTACTAATGAGAGATTATGACATTTTGATAAAAAACATCATTAGAGACATGAAATAGTGGAAGCATAATGTCTATGAAGAAGAAAAAGATATTTGCTTTAGAATATATTTCAGAGGAGAAGCAATACTTCTATTTACCATTTTCTAAGCTATTTCCATTCTACTGTTTTAATAGTAGTATAACTTTTTATTTTTAGACAGAGCCTCAAGCTATCCCCCTGGGTAGAGTGCTGTGGCATCACAGCTCACAGCAACCTCACAGCAACCTCCAACTTCTCAAGCGAGTCTCCTGCCTCAGCCTCCCAAGTAGCTGGGACCACAGGTGCTCGCCACAATGCCTGGCTACTTTTTGGTTGCAGCCATCATTGTTGTTTTTGGTGGGCCAGGGTTGGATTTGAACCCCCCACCTTAGGTGTATGTGGCTGGTGCCTTAGCCACTTGAGCCACAGGTGCCGAGCCATAAATTTTTTTTTTTTTTAAAGAAATGATTTTACTAGACCAATTTTATTTTATTTATTTTTTTTTTTTGAGACAGAGCCTCCAGCTGTCCCCCTGGGTAGAGTGCCATGGCATTACAGCTCACA